TCAGTGATATAATCATTTGGTATAACGAATTTAAAATTTTTTAAAAACTGATATGATTTGCTTTTATTAATGAACTTTTCATCAATTTGTCAATTTGTTTTTTCTTTTTTACATTTAATGAAAGTAACATTTGGATTAATTTTCATTTCAAAATAATTATTTCACTTTGATATCTTTGATTAATTGTTTTTAACTTTTTATAATTGCAATTATTATGCCATAAGTGCAAAATATTTATTGAAATTTGAATTGAACTATTAGCAATTATCATTATTCATAAATTAATTCCTTAAATTATCGAATATTTACACTCAGTTTTTGGTCATTTTTAAATTGTATTAATTTTAAATAATACTATTTTAAAAATTGAATGATTTCTTCATCAAATTTCTGTTTAAAATTTGATACAAATTTATTGGAATTTTTTTTTAATTTCTAAAATGATTTATTACATAAACTATTGTCTAATTTATTGCATTTTGTTTTCGATGAAACCTTTGTAAATGTTAAATAATTTTCAATTCTTTGTCCTTTCGGAAAATGAAACGGACTATTTGATTCAAATAATTGATTATCGATGAGACAAGAAAATGAATTAAATGAAAAAAACTCTTTGCAATTCTTTTCTTTTGTAACTTATTTGTCGTTACACTTCAAATCAGGTAAATAAAGAAATGAAATGAAATAAAATGAAATGAAATGAAATGAAATAAAATGAAAATGGATGAAAGGCGCATTTGTCAGTTAATTGATTTAAGGATACATTGCGCCTCTCTTATACATTTTACTCATTCTTCTTTCATTTCGCAGTATTTCTTCTCTTAACTCTTCAATTCTTCACTGTTATCTTGAAATTTTAAACCCTAATATTAAAATTGCTAAAAGCACTCAGTACTGAGCTTCTTTTCTATTTATCATATCAGATATCAATCTTGACATTGATATCATTTTCAAGTAACAAATGGCAATTGTGATAAGTTATAGAATTGCTTAAAAATCTTCTCAAATTTATTATGCAAAACTTTTTTTATTATTTAACTGATATGATAATGATAACTTGTTATCAGTTACTTTTTTAATACAATGAAAATTATTGCAAAAGGAAAGAATGAAATAATTTATTAACTTGTAAATTATGCTTACTTGTCGTTATTTTTAGTTACTGCTCGAAGTGTAAATATTTCAAAATTTCAATTCTTTGACTTTTTTCATTTTCTCATTTATCAATTCTCATCCAATCGATTTCCTTTTTTTTTTTTTATTAGTTAAAGTTTTCTTTTTAGTTTTAGCAATTTTTTTACAGAAATTTGTTAGTGGGAAAGAAAAGAAAAAAAAAATTCAAATTGTTTATAATATTTGAAAAAAATAAAAAAAAATTAAATAATTTTTCTATTTAATGCAAAGTATATCTAATTTTATGATAATTTTTTATACTTATTATAATCTAATTTTTATCTTTTGTAACAGAATTAAAGCATATTTTTGTTTTTTATATTAATAAAATTTTTGAATTATTTTTTTGTGTTTAAATGTTTATTTGTTTATTTTATACGATTTTTATGTTTGTATTTTAAGCTATTTATTTATGTTAGAATCATTTATTCAAAATTATTTATTATATTTATAAAAGTTTTAAAACAATTTATTTGTGATGATTTTCTTTTTTTTTTTGTTACTTATGATAGTTTTTAAAAATTTTGCAGAATTAATCTTCGTATTGTTTACTTATGCATATCTTATCAATTCATTTAATTTTTAAATTATGAATTTGAAATCTTAGTTCTTTTGGAATATTTTTTTTCTCTTTCTGGCAATTACGAAAAAAAAAAAAAAAAAACTTTTAAACATATTATTTTATGCGATCGTAGTATTAATTTTAAACATTGAAATTTGTCCATCTAATTTGATTTATCTAGAATTAAATACAATTATTTGTATTTCGAGAGTTGATCAGAGTGATTATTTTGTTGTAGCAATTTATCAGAAGAGGAAAATAAAAGCAAAAAAAAAAAATTGAATGAATAACAATTTGGGAATGTTTCGATTTTATTTTCATAAAATTGTGAAATGTTTTCAATTTTAATTTCAATAGATCGCTTAATTTCTTTAAGCAAAAATACTTTGAGAGTTAATAATTGAAATATTTGTTTTTGAGTGAAAGCAGCATTATTATTTGTGATTCTATTAGTGATTAAATTCTTCTTTGGCTGATTAAAAATTGACCAAAAAATTTTAACTTTTATTTAGTTGAATTTATTACTTTCAGAAATATTTTTTTGACGTTTTTGTTAGATTTCTTAAGGATTTCGTATTGTTAATGACACTTAATTGCAGGAATTAAAATCTGCTACTAGTCTTCTTTTTTCTTTTTGGCCAAAAGCTTTTAGCTTTTGGCCTCATTTTATATTTTATTTTTTAATTTACTCCAAGAAAAAATGCAAATTAAATATTTTAATTTCAATTTCAATTTGTTATAATTAACATTTATTCCACAAATGCCATGTTATCTGTTATCATTTATCATTGTTTGTTATCACTTCACTACTTTGATAATCATAATCATCGCACTAAATGACTTTGGTCAATAAATCAGTGATTGTGATTGATGTAATAAATTTTGATAACATTTGTAATAAATAAAAAAATAATTAAGCACATTTATATTTTTAACAAAATTGAAAACAAATGAAATGAATGAAAAAAATAAACGATGAAATGGAATTTTTCTTTTTTTCATTAAAATTTAATAATTATTTATTTGGTATATTTTGGATGAAATACTTTTATCAATCATTTTCATATTTCTAGCAACAGCTGCTACATCATTTATAGCACACAATGGGAAAATTTCCAACAAAATTAATCAAAAAAAAAAAGTGCAATTTTCTTTCTTTTTTTTTTTTTCCTTTCCTGAAAATATCAATTTTAATTGGAATATTCTTTTAAAAGAATTATTCCGACTTTTAAAACTATTCGCATTTTTACATTACTAGTAGTATTGTCGATACTACTACTACTGATACTACTGATACTGATAATTTTACTATTACTTTTATTATCATTATTATTATTACTATTACTATAACTACTACTGCTATTATTGCTACTACTACTAGTACTTTGTTGCTACTGCTAATACTGCAAAGTGATGGCTAATTTTTACACTGATTTATGATTGTGAGAATTTCATTTCTCTCTAAATTTTATAAAAAGTTTTGCGGAACAAAGAATCTCTTATGTGCTGCAAAGTGTTGATAGAGTTTGAGGCATTTCAATCTTACTTCTTCCATCGGTTTTGTTGATAATTGTCTAAAAGGCTGACGTATGTATTGCTTTCCTATTTGCTCGAAGATTTTTCCTTCTTCTTCTCCTTCTATCTTTCTTTTTAACAATTTCACTTTTTTTCTTATTTCTTTTTTTAAAAATTAAAATTATGAAAGAAGCAAATCATAAATTCTTTTTTTTGCTTAAAAAAAAAAAAAAAACGAAAAAACAAAAAAAAAAAAGGAAAGAAAAACTTGAGATAATAACAAATTTTGCTAATTAGAAATAAACGAATTTATCAATTCATTTTTCCTTTGACTCTTTGTAGCTTTAACCTTTAACTCTTTGTGTTTGTGATAGTATTGTACATTAAATATTTAATCATAATCTTTGTTAAATTTAAAAAAAAAAATATGATAAGGGCAAATGTGGTATAGCATTAATGATTACATATCAGTATTTATGATTATCAGTGATAGGGTACAGTAGCACATATCAGTATTTATGATTATCAGTGATAGGGTACAGTAGCACATATCAGTATTTATGATTATCAGTGATAGGGTACAGTAGCACATATCAGTATTTATGATTATCAGTGATAGGGTACAGTAGCACATATCAGTATTTATGATTATCAGTGATAGGGTACAGTAGCACATATCAGTATTTATGATTATCAGTGATATAATACAGTAGTATGACTGATAAATGTACATTACTGTATATATAATCATAAAATCATTAAGATACTGAATTATTGGAAAATATTATGAACAATACAATCATAATTCAATCTTTCTTTTCTATAATTGGAAAAGTTTCGCGTAGTTTTTAGTTTTTTTTTTTCGAGTGCTACAAAAAGATGCACAAATTTGTTGGAAGTATTTTTAAATTAAATTTACTTTGGACATCTGCAGCAGTCATTGCATTTATTGTTTTTTTTTTCTGGGTCATAAGAGTTTTTTTTTTCATTTTTTTTCAAATCTAATTCTGGAAAATTTTTATTTTTCATGAAATCTATTGCTGACTCATATATTTTTGATATAGAATAGCTGTAGAATTTTTATGGCGGTATTGTCAAATACTTGCTAGAGGGGCGGTTATTGTCAAATACTTGCTAGAAGGAATATTTGTCTTCATTTTTTGTGCTCAAAATATCTCTTTCAGGGAAGAGAAGAGAGAGCGGATAAATTTCATTGAAAAGTGCATAATTTTTTTTTTTCATCTTTAAAAAAAAAAATGTGTCTGTATATACGGTGATTTTTTTTCAAAAATTTTTTAAAATGTAAAAATTTTCTAAAAATTAAATTTTTTTTTTATGATAATAAAAACTATATATAAAATTGGAATAGGTTAAATGTTAGTTTGAATTTGTTAAAAATTTTAGTTAACAGAAATTGAATAAATTTTCACCTCCATTTTTCATTTTTTGGAATGAATAAATATGTTTGGAGGATTATTTGTTCATTTAAATGAGCAAATGAATAATTTTGTTTTTCATATTTATATTTGGATTTGTTCATTTGTTTTTAAAGTATGTTTTTAAATTGATATAAATGTAAAATGTCCCTTTAAATATTGATCGTTTAAAATAAAATGAGAAACGGAAATTATTTGATGTTGGAAAAAATAGTGACAGAAATTAAAGAATTAAAATTGATTATTATTTGTTCTATTTTGAATCGATTTTTCGAATCAGACTGTATTATTTAATTTTAATTATTTCTTTTTAGGATTGTCACATCTGTTCAACGATACCTGTAATAATTTCAATGAATCTCGATGTCATCGAAATCGACGACGACCCAAATCATACGTAATGGCTACCAGTTCCGGTTCAGCATTATCAGCTAGTGATGATTCAGTTGTAATCCAAAATGCATCATCATCACCTGATATCAAGTAAGTTTCAATTTTTTAAATTTCAATTTAAATTTTGCAATAAAAATGAAATGAAAAGAAAGTAAGGTTTATTTATTTCAACAAACTAACTCCATCTCTCCCAGTTTTCTGTTTTTTTTTCTCCTTTCTTATTTTTTTATTAATCTAAAATTATGATAGAAAAGAATTATTTTTATACAGTGGAAATAATATTTTCATATTTCACAAAAAAAAAAAATTATGAAAGTAATTAGTCAGTATTTAGTTGATTATAATTAATTAATGAATAAATCACTGTGATATTGAAATTTTTTTTTTGAAATAATTTTAACATTTACTTACCTATCTAATCATTTCCTTTTTTTTTTCTTTTTTTTTAAATAATTATTAATCATAAATGGTATTGTTAGAATGAATAAAATGATAAAATGAATTAAGTATCAATTAACATTTCAATGTTATTTTAGTGTATTTTCGATTTCATATTTTCATTTTTTAAAAAAAAAAAAAAATGAATTAGCTTAAAAGTTCAAAATGAATTTTCTCATTTTAATGGATAACAAGTAATCCTTTTAGTTAACTTTAAAATTGTATTAACTAAAATTGCATATAGTCGTAGAGATTATTGCTTCGCTTCTTATTCTAAGGCTATTTTCAAATAAAATTATTGATGAAAAGAATAATAACATCTTTTTGTTGTAAAAATTTGAAAATTTCCTCACAATACTCTTTTTACGTTTCTTTTGTAGTGATTGTATCGATCGTTCACGTGACTCAAGTAATAGGCGCAAATGTGCAATGTTTATATGCGTAAAATGTATGCGTGTATGTATGCATGTATGTATGTTATGTGTGTGTTTACTACTTTTTTATCAATGCCATTTGTGCATATACTTTTTGCTCTTAACTTTAACTTTGAACTTTTACGTTATAACCACAATCAAACGATAAATGTACTAATTTAAATTTAAATAATTATAATTTCTATTGTTAAAATTAAAAGAAATGAAGAAAAGAATCTTTAAAATATATTTGTACAATTATATATACAAAAAATAATAATTTGGTGTTAGTTCTAACACACAAATATAGTTTTCTAATATTTTAATATATTTTTAATAAAAAATAGGAGTATGAAATATTTACGATATATTAGTCACTTTCATCTTCAAAAATTTCCGGAAAAAGAATCGGTTTAGCTTATCGGAAAAAAGCATTATATGATGATGCATCGATTTCATTTAGTTGTTTACTTGTTGACCAAAATCGAATAAATGTGTTTATATTCCCAAATGTCATCATCGTCATCATCATCCATATGATTTGTAAAAATAATGTTTGATGTTAAAAATAATGAACTTCCTTTCCTATACGAAATTTCTCTCTCTCTCTCTCTCTTTCTCTGTCCCTCCGTCTCTCTTTCTCTCTCCCTTTCTGCTTCCTATCTCTGTATTTGATTTAAGAATTAGGCAATTATTTTAGGAAAGAAAATAAATTGAAACATTAAATTTCCAAAGAGATAATTTAGACATTTATTTATGGTTTAGAAAATATTTTTACTTTATCAAAATTGTTTGACTTTTCTTATAATAAATGATAGTATGGTAATAATTATTTGTTTCTTTTTTTTTTTTTTTTTTAAATTATTATACTTTAACAATTTTTTATTTTATTTTTGAATTAAATTTTCTGTTCAAAAAAAAAAAAAAAAAAATTTTTTTTTGTTATTAAAATTGTTTTAAAAGTTTTATTCCTAATAATTGTTTATTTTATAAAAGATATAATTTTAAATTATTCTCATCTATTAGTTGTCATAATTGAATGGTAATTTGTGGTTGTTGTCAACATCGTCTAAAATTTGCTTTTTGTCTTATTATCCATCAATTGAGATTTAATTTCTTACATTTATTGAAGAAAGAGAGAGAGAGAGAGAGAGAGGAGAGAGAGAAGGAGAGAGAGAGTGAAATAATTGGAAGAAGGAAATTTATTATGCTTCTTCTTCCATTTAGCAAATACAACAGAAGGAGGAAGAAAATAATGAAAGCTAAGCATAATTATTCTAAAAGGGATGAATGAATCTCTTCCAATGTAAGCTTACCATCTAATTTTACGCTTCAATTCATTTTTAAATTTTTACTAACTAAAATTTCATTTTGCTTCCTCTTTCGTTCTAATGAATAAATAGCAACGAGGAAGTACGATCATATTTTTATTTCTATTTTCAATTTTTTGAATTTTTCTTATCTCAGTTTATTTCTCTCTTCTTTTCTTTTCTTTTCAAAAATTAAATCTTTTCGTCAAAAAAAAAAAAAAAAAAATATGATAGTCTGTCTGATCAAAGTGTAAAATTTTAAACATTATTAAATGTGAACTCTCTTCCATAATATATCTAAACATATTGAAATATAGAAAAGAAATTTAATCAGAAAAAATGATTTCAATAAATGTGTCATTTTTATCTCACAAGAAAAAAAAGAAATAAATAAATTGAAATTATTGATCGTAAAAATTAAAATACAAATTAAATATTTGATAAATTTATTGGGAGCATTAAAATATTTGTGTTTTCATTGAGTTTTGAAATTGAAAAATGTTAAAAAAAAAAAAAAAGCAAAACAAAACAAAATTCACATTAAATGATAAACAGATTTTCGTGAACCAAAAAAAAATGGAATCAAAAAAAAAGTAAATTTTTTTTTTCTTTTTAAAACAATTTGTTGAAATGTTTCACTTCTTACTGTTTATTTCTCTCTTGATCAGAAAACATCTATTATCACTGATCTTTCTATCTTATCACTACTTGCTACTTTTCCTTTCTTGAAATATAATCTTCAATCAGTGATTATATCCATTATCATTGTCCAAAGCTAAGTTCAGTCAAGTAGAGCAACCAATTTTCATATTTGCATTGATAATAATGCGATAAGTTTTTTTTTTTTTTTTTTTCAACTATTATTAGTATCCCAAAAATAATTAATTTAATATCCAAAATTAATTTAAAATTTAGTTCGAAATTTTTCTACAAAGAATGAGATGAAACATTAGAAATACATTTAATAGAATTAAATTTAGAAATTATAAAAAAATGTAATTGTTGTTTTTGAAAATCTGTCCGAAAATTTTTTTAAATTCATTAATTTTTTTTTTTTAATTTTTTAAATTCATAAATTTAATAAAAAAAAAAAAAAACTGTGGCATCTCATTCAAATTATAGCAGAAAATTTTTGAACTTCTTGCCAATATGATGTAGCGCAACTTTTTTTTTTTTGTTGTTGTTATACGTCATCAGTAAGTCTCTTTATACGTACGTAAAAATGTACGTGAAACTTGCATACATTTGTTTAACATAATTTCTTATTATGATTGTGTAACAGAAATTGATGCATTTTCAAGTATTATCCACAAATAAATATAATCTCTTCAAAACTTGTGGTTAATCACAGAGACATAAAACGTTGATAGGAAAAACTTATCGCAGAAAAGATTGTCGCGAAGAGAATTTGATGTGACATTTTTGGCTAATTGAACAATTTCCATATTTTCTTTTTTTTTTTTTTTTTCTTGATCTAAAGAATAGTTTTTTTCAAATTATGCATTATAATTTGTGCTAAAGAAAAAAAAAAATTTTTTTTTCTTTAAAAGTTTATCGGATGGATTAGGTAATTTTGATGGTAACAATGGGAGAGAATAGGAGAGGAAGTATTTTAGTGGATGTTTAGAGATTATTCGTTCCGTTTAGTTATATTTGTCACAAAATCTAGTTTTGTAGAGTTTCAAGAATTGTCACTAATGATGGTAGCATCAATGGAAGTTGTCATCCGGCTCAGGTAATGCTTTTCAAATTACCTGTTGATGTCACATGTCTCCTCTCATACTCACACACACACACACACATATACGAATAAAATTTGTAGCTTTTTTTAAACTCAAAACTTTGGACTGTTTATGTTTATTTCTATTTACAAATGAATTTGGTAAGAGATGAAAAAAGGTAAATAAACAAGTGAGAATTTATAATCACTGAGATATTTTTGAGAAATTATTTATCGCAATTTTTGTTAAAGATATGAATATATTACAATCTCTTTAGATTTAATTTATCATAAATTGAAAAAATTTGCATATAATTTCTTTTTTTTTTTTTTTAAATGAATTATGATTAACACTAGAAGGAATAATTTTTGTTTGGTAAATTAAAAATTTTAATTTCAAATCGTATGTTTTTATACAAATTTTATTTCAAATCTTTTTGTAATGGCTTAGTAACATAGAAACATTGTTTTTCTTTTCTTTTTTATTTTATTTTGTAAAAAAGAGACATTGTATAATTCATTTCTTCTTTATCATTTTATTTCATTATAATCAATTCATTCTTTTTTCATTTTCATTTTAAACGATTTCAAAAATTTTTCATTAATTTTAATATTTTACAATTCATATAATCATATCTTTGTTAATTGATTTTATGCACAAAAGATTTTCTTCAATTTATTTTGTTTATTTTGTTTAAATTTTTTTTTTTTTAAAAAAGGTGAATTTTTTAAATTTTTCAAGAAAAACAAAAGAAAATACAACACTGAGCTAATAAAAAAAGGAAAAGCAAAAAAAAAAAAAAATGAAAAAAAGATTTTTTGAAATTTAAAAATTAATTACTTTATTAATTACTCATCGTTTCTTTCCTTTTTTTTTTGCGCCATTTCTCTTTTACATTTCAAATCAAAAATTTGTATTTATCTTTCATTAGCAAAAAAAAAAAAAAAAAAATTCTTTTCCTTTGCCCACTTCTTCCATCTCTTCAGAATGTCACCTAATGGTAGAAGCAAGGTCACACTAATGTCAACAATACTATAAATGCTTGCTTATTTGAGAGAAAAAAAAAATGAAACTTTTTTGATAAAATTTAAAATTAAAATTAAATGTTCGAGTATTATTCATTCTTTTAGTATATTTTATTATTTAATTTTTCCGCCATTTATCGATCTATAATTTGCTATGGTTGCAATTCAGATGTTTTATAAAACTAAAAATTTACAACATTAGTGAATAATTTCTTTTTTTCAATTGAAAATTTCATAAACTTTTTTTTTTTTCTTTTGATTCATTTCATCTGGCACTTAGTTATTTGTGTATGGTACCAGATGGGACGACAAATATTTAAGCGTCCTAATAATGGGCAATAGAAAAAAGGGTGGGCTATGACATATGGATAAGGGTAAGGGTAAGGGTAAGGCTATGGGTAAGGTTAAATGAAGAGCTCATTATTCATTCTTCTTACCTGTTTCTTCTCTCTATTTTCCCCTTTACTCTTCTATACCAATTTTACCATTAAAATCTTTTTTTTTTGCGCTGCATAACAATGAATGAATTCTGATTCGATCATTTCATTATAATCAAAAAAGAAAAAAAAAAAAATTGGTAAAAATGCTACGCTACATTTTCATCCTTTTATCCAATTTAAATTTTTTTTACAGTTCATTTCATTTTGCTAATTTTCTTCATTCTTTGAAAATTATTTTTACATTTTTTTTTTTTTTTCGAATCAATCATCAGATATAGTTGAAATGTAGTTGATACAAATACAAATATAGTTGACACTTTTTTTTTTTATTTCAATTTAAATTTGAAAAAAAAAATTTAATAATTATTTCTTTTATTTCTCAGCTAATTTAACTAGTAGTAGTAATAATAGTAATAGTAATAGTAATAGTAATAGTAATAATAATAATAATTAGCGATAATATATTCTTCATAATAAAATTCATTAAAATATTAAAGAAATAAGCATTACTTCATAGAAGTCATAAAAGGTTTTATTAATGAAATGTCAATTAATTTATTTAAATTCAGAAAATCAATACATTTAGCATTTTTCATTCTTTTTCCTTTTTTTTTTTTTATAAAGAAAGATTGCCATTAAAAAAAAAAAAAAAAAAAAAACAAAGAATTCTATTTAGAAATTTTAAATAAAATTATTTCTACAATTGCTAAAATAATATTTGCTCCAAAATATTTTAGTTTTTTCTTTTTTTTTCCTTTCTTTTTTACTTTCATATAAAACATTTTACATAATGAAAGAAATAATTTGAAAAGTGATAACATTCATTTAATTTATTGATATTAAATAACATCGAAAATGTTTCAAAAAGTTTTATTCTTTTTCCTCTGATAACGTTTAAATCAATTAAAATAGCTCAATTTATTGTTATTTCATTGAAATGTTTTTTGTTTTGCTTTTGCTTTTTATTCTTTTCTTTTTCTTTTTTTTTTTCATCTTTTCATTTAATTTTTATTGCTATCATTTTGCTAAGTTTTTTCTTTTTTTTTTTTTGCATTTCTTATTCCAAAAATTGAAAAACCGTTAAAATCATTTCATCAATTCAATTAAAAGCCGGAAAATTTGCCCTTGGATTTAGATGGAATTGTGGATAATTTAAATTCCAAAATTGCTTTTGTATGCTTTTCTTTCTTCTCTTCTTTTTCCTTCTTTTTAATTCACTTTTTTCTTAAGCTTTAAACAAGTTTTCTGGTGTCATCTTATCTCTCTATTATTTGAATAATTATATTTTCCAAAAATTTTACCATAAAATGTTATTTAAAATTTTAAATTATAAACTAAGCTAATTTTTAATTAAAATTTTCAACATTCATTTCATATAATATTTATTCGTAACATAAAATAAAAACATGCATTTTTCCATCAATTTTATTTTACTTAATACAAAAAAAAAAGTACTTTAATTATTTGAAATGTTCACTTCTATAAAATTAAAATATGCTATAGTATTTGTATAAAACTCATAATTCTTTTATTTCATTTTATTTTTTTTTTTTTCATTAATAATAATAATTAATTACTACTACAATATTAATCAATAAATTATGAATTAAACAGAAATAATTTCCTGTCATCAAATAATAATTCTTTTAAAATATTGCAGAAACAAAAAAGCAAAAATTTAAAAAATTTGTCATGTGATAAATTTAATATTTGCGCAAAATTTTGTTAAAAATCTTCTTTTTCATATCATTTTTTATTTTATTAAATAATATTAATTTTATTTTACTTAGAATAAAAATATTGTAAATTATTTTAAAATTTTTGAAAAATTTTTCATAAAAAAAAAAGGCTTTTGCAATTTTAAATTCAATTTTCTTTGTTTTTTTTTTTTTTTTCTTTTTTTCGAATAAAACAAGAAAAATCAGTAAGAAAACTGCAACAGTTGGTTTCCTTTCTTTTTTCTTTTTGTTGATTTTAAAAGAATTTTTGAAAATAGTTTTTTTTTAATAATACTTTTGCAGGCGTGTGTTATCATCAGAGGTATTACATGATAGTAGTTGTGGTGGTGATTGCTTATCATTATCATCACCAGTACTTGCCAAAACAACATCATCAATATTTTATGCTCCAAATCATAGCGCTTCAACAAGCGTTCATATACCAGCAACCACGCATCGCATTCAACGCTTTATCAGTTTTTTTTCTTCCAGTGATACACAGGTTTTAATTAAATTTGAAAATTAAATATATTAAAATTTATTTTTGCACTAATTAAATGATATATTAATTATTAATTATAATGATTAAAATATTATAATTTATTTTTGCACTAATTAATAATATACATATGTAGAAAATAAAAAAAAAAAATAATTTTTTACACCAATATATGATTTATTTATTTATTTTTTCTTTAAAAAAGTTTCTTTTTTATTGGTTAAGAATTAATAATAATTTTAATTTATAATTAATAATTGAATGAATTAGGTTTATAGCATTTTTCTTTTTTCTTTTTTATTTTGCTGTTTATTAATTTTCAATTTTTTCTTTTTCTTTTGTTGTACAGTGTTTAAATTTAATAGTATTTATTTTGCTTTATGCATTATAAATGTATAAATAATTGTGTAAATTATGTAAATTATATATAAATTAGTTAATTATATCAAATTATATATAAATTACCAAATTATATTAAATTGTATATAAATTAGTGAATTATATTAAATTATATATAAATTAGCAATTATGTAAATTCACATCTGTTTTTTTGTTTCTTTTTGCGCTATTACTTAAAATATATTATGGTATATTTGATAAGTATACTTTTAAATATAATAAGTTATACGTGAAATAAAGATATAAATAATTGTTCCCTTAAAATATATATTTTTGTTCCCTTAAAACAAAAAAAAAAAAAAAAAGAGTCTGTTGATTAACTTTTGTGTTTTTTTTTAAAAAAAAAAAAAAAAATTTTAACAGCTGCGAGCACCAACATCAATTTATGATCAGTCATTATTTTTGCTAAGAGTTTGTTTTTTTTTTTTTTTCTTTTTATTTATTTTTCTTTTTATTATTATAAATGATAAAGTAATATGTGAAGAAATCATTCTTCTTATTATTATTATTGTTATTTATTGCTATTATTTTTATTATTATTGAAATTATTATTTTTAATTATTATTATTATTATTAATCAAATAAAAATAAAATAAAAGTAAATAAACTTATGAAGATATTGTATAACGATTACTTTACACATTTCTAATTTAATTTTGAATTGTTTACAAAAAAACAAAAAAAAAAAAAAACAAACAAACAAACGAGAAAACATTTCAAGAGAGTTATTTATTAAAAAAGAAAAAGAAAAAAGTTTTACAGTCGAAACATTGTGAAACGACAATCTCACCTACTACTACTGTACGATTTCCATCACGTCGTCGTCTAAAACGCTCAACGACAGCGACAACAGCGCCGATTAGTACATCCTTATTAGCTACACCGATACGTCTAGGTGATGTTCAAAAACAGGGCCAACTTATGCATCAAGTTAGTAAATAGAATTTTTGAAAAAAAAGAAAAACCTTAACATTTTAAATTTTAATTTTTTATTCGATACTCTTAACATTTCATGAATCTAACTTTATATTTACTATATTAGCTACATCGATACGTCTAGATCACGTAAAAGTTTACATGTTTACATTATGTTGACAAAATCATTGTTATGAATTCACTATGTAATAAATCGATTTTTTTTTTTTATAAAAATGTCTGTTTTTTGAATGATGATTAAAAGAGAAAGAAAAATTAAGAATTTCCAAATATTTTTTTTTTTTTCAAGTCAAAATGATATGTCATTTTATAGGAAGTGGCCATGGGTGAATCACTAAAAAATGACCGACACAAGTGGACAGTGTATTGGGCAGTACTTCATGGTACTAAATTATATCTTTGCTGTCAACTAAGCTCACATATCAATGACGAAACGCATGAAAAAGTTTGATTTTTCTTTTTTCTTTTTTTTTTTTTTTTTTTGGCAAAATGTTTAATTCTTATTTATGCAATTTCTTTCAATTATTCAATTTCATTTCATTTCATTTTTATTATTATTGTTATTTTATCAAAAATTATTGTCAACCATAAATTTGGAATTAATTTTTTATCAAAAAAAAAAAAGAAAAAAAACGCTGTTATTAATATGAATAATTTTATTAATAGTTTAAATTTTAAAAGATTATTGGTAAACTAGAAAAAGTTGAATTTATTTATGATTTAAATGAAAATTTATCATTGTTGCATTTATTTGTATTTTTAATAAAAATTAATTTTTATATTGGATAAAATTTCAACTGCAGCAATCATTTAAATAAATTATCTCAACTTTATAATTTATAATATGCGCAAAATATTGATAAATTGGAAATGATAAGTGAACAATGATAAAAATAATAAATTTTATTTAGTAAACAAAATGGCTTTTATTTAGTAAACAAAATGACATACATGTTTATTTATTAAACAAGGAAATGAATACAAATAGCGCCATTGTACTTTAGCTAAATAGTTGAAAAGAAAAAAAAAATTTTCTTTTTTTTTTTTGTTAAATTCAATTCTATCAGTGTGAAATTGATCTGATTGATTTCTAGCAAATGTTTATTAGCTATGCTTCTTCGATGTATGCTAATAGTAGTGCATTGTGATGATTCTATGATTAGATGCTTATTCTAAATTTCTATTTATTTTCTTTTTTGAATAATTTACTAATTTACTTTCTTCACCATTGAAATAATGGATCAGTCCTTTTGAATTTTATCTTCAAAATTTAAAAATAAAATAATAGTTTTTATTGTTGTACAATAAATTCTTTATAAATGAAGCATTTTATTGAAGTATATCAAAGTTTATTTTAAATAATATATAATTATTCTTTGAAATTATTCTATTGAAAATTTTTGCTAATTTTATATTTTGCATTACTGCAAAATATAATCAAATATCTTTCTTTAAACTTAATAATTAGGTTTTTTTTTTTTCTTTGAAATATATGTACTTATAGTAGTAATACATGCAAAAATATATTTGAATATTCACATAATGCACAAATAATAAAATTAATTCAAATTTATTTCTATTATCTTTTTCTTTCTTAACTTTGAATTAATTTAAATTAAGCTAACTTTAAATTTGGATATTATTTAGCTGCGATAAAAGCTTTCCTTTAGCAAAATAATATAAACTAAAAGTTATTCTTCTATTTGTTGCTATTAATAATACTACGAAATGTTTCACTTTTTAAATTTAATTCATTTCTATCAGTGCAAAAAAGAAAAAAGAGTATTGAACTTAGTAAAATAATAGGAGAAAGTTAGACTTAAATTTAATTTCAATTGAAAAAGATTTCACTCTCAAATCAACTAACTAAATTTTTTAGTAAATCTCAACACATTTTCTTCTTCTTTTATTTCTATGAAATTACTGAAATTTAAAAAATTTACTAAATGTTTTTTTTTTTTTATAATTAGCATAAACTTTTAATTACTGCCAATAATTAGATCTAAGAGATTTAAGAAAAAGATTAATGATAATTGAGATTGTTTGAGAATTAAATAATATTAATTACAGTTATTGAATATTCCATCGGATGCTCGTGAAATTGATCTGAAATCAGCTATCATTGATATAGCATATGAATATTGCCGCCTAAAAGATAACAAAAAAGCGCACATATTTCGTGTGATAACTCAACAACAAACTGAACATCATTTCCAGGCTTATTGGTAAATATTTTTACGAAGACAAAAAGGAAAATTTGATTAATGATAATCAAAAGTGATATCATATCATTTATCAATTATCTATATCTAATGCATAAGATTACAATTGGTTTAATTAAATTGTAATTATAGAAAAATAAATTATATATTTTTATCAACAAAATTATTCCTTAATTTATAATGTGTTTTAAATGTTAGTCCGACTACTTCTAATACTATCATTGTTTACTTATCAAATAACTACTTTATTTATTTATTCATCATCAATAAATCAATAAACAATTAATAATTTTGATATATTTAGCTCTTAAAAAAGCAATTAGTATTTTTTTTTTTAAAAAAAAAGAATTTTTTTCTAATCATATATTTTGATGCCTTTTTTTTTGAAATATATATATCATTTTAAAAAGCATAGATATGAGAAAAATTTAACTCATTTGATAAATTTTATTAACATTTTATTGAAGTGGGAAGAGATATAAAAATTGAAAAAGAAATATTTACATTCAAAGAAATTGCCGAATTTCAAATTCAAAAAAAAAAAAAAAAAAAAAATCCAAAAAGAATTTAGAGGGAAATTTTAGTTATATTTAAAATATTTATTGCAGTGAAGATGATATGTTAAAATGGATTGAAATTATTCGTTTTGCTTCTGCTAATTTAATTAGCTCACAAAGTGACCATGGCACTATTTCTGCGGCTTCTACAAAAGGTATTGCTGAAGAAGTACCATCGAATAATTCCTCAATTGATTCAAAATTAGAATTAAATAATTCGGTTTGTTATTTCTTCTCTTTTCTCATTTAATTTTTTTTTCTTTTTTAATTAACAATTTCAAAAAAAAAAAATGTGAAGAAATTTCTTTATATCTTTTCAGTAAAACTTTTTTCTTTTTTCGAATTCTTTTTTTTTTTTTTTTCAAAGTTTATTTTTGAAATTTTTTAAAAATATTATTTGTTGGTTATTTCGTAAAAAAAAAAAAAAAAAGAAAAAATTCATATTTTATTTTATTAATATCATTTGAATTATTACTTTTTAGAGTATAATTTATACTGTGACATATGATTTGTTTACTTTCTAAAATTTCATCATCATTGTTATTTATAGAAAAATGAAGAAAATAAAGTAATCATTTTTCATACAAATCAATGATTATAATTTTTTTGAAATACTTTTAGAAATATTTTTCCACTTTTTTTTCTGCAATATCTTATTTTTATTTTTTTGCTCTCTCTGTTTTTTTTTTTTTTTTTTTTTCAAATTTTACTTAAATTCTAGTATATTTAACACTAATTAAATTAATAGTAATTAAGTAATTTTAGCAAAAGAAAAAAGATTTGTTTTTGAAAAATTCTGCAAATGAAAAATGATCTATCATTTCACTTAGGTATCAAATTTTCCTTCTCTCTCTTTCCTTTTTTTTTTTTTTTTTTTTAAATTTATGCATTAGACAGTGCCATTAATTCGCTGATTCATTGCGTGGAAAAAAATTTATTTATTCACAAAATCTTACTGTCAACGTCATTGTCATTGAATACGTCAACTCACGTCAAGCATAACTTACTTTCATCTTACTGTCAACGTCATTGTCATTGAATACGTCAACTCACGTCAAGCATAACTTACTTTCATCTTACTGTCAACGTCATTGTCATTGAATACGTCAACTCACGTCAAGCATAACTTACTTTCATCTTACTGTCAACTTCATTGTCATTGAATACGTCAACTCACGTCAAGCATAACTTACTTTCATCTTACTGTCAACTTCATTGTCATTGAATACGTCAACTCACGTCAAGCATAACTTACTTTCATCAACATATTTCAAAATTCTACTAACTACTGTTTTAATATTAAATATGCAAAATTTACCACAAAATTGCACACATTTTTTAAAATACATTTTGCTTATTAATTAATTTAATTTCATAAGCTTATCAATTAATTTAATTTCAACACATTTCAATTATTAAAATGTACATTAAATATCAAAAAAAAAAAAAACAGTTAACATTAATAAATTAAACAACTAAAAATTGATATACATTTATACTAAACAAAAGTTACTAAAACTAAATAATTAGAGTAAAAAAAAAAAGTAAAACTAAATAATTAAAAATTTGTTTGTTCGTTGAAAAAAATTTAACGAATTTAGAAATATTTTTTATATATTTGCTAATAATATTTCATTATTATATATATTTTTTATTATGAAAATGTTTTCTTTAATTAGCTTTTTCATTCATTTTATCAATAATATTACAATTAGCGAAAATTAATTTCTATGATTGAAATGCTCTTTGATAATTGCTAATAATTTACTATAATTAGCTCATTCGATGAGAATACTAAAATTTGATAAATTGAAATTAATTGCTTATTTGATTAGCTGTCAGTTGATTAGCTAATAATAGATAAATCATTATTAAATTTTGTTGACAAAATGTATGACTCATCATCAATTAATTGAAATACTGATTATATTTTGTTGAAATGCTTGAAATTAGCTAAATGATTTTATTTAATTACATTAGCAATCCAAATGTTTAATTAATTAATTAATATTTATTACGTAATACTACGTGTGCAACCACTTTACTATTATTAATCTCAATTGATGATAGTAGGATTTTTTGAAATATTAATTAGCATATCTGAAATTGTTATCTTTTTATAATTAGCATCTTTGATAAATTATTTTGTATTATTCAAAGTTTTTATTTATTTATTTATTTTTTTTTTTTTTAAATCTCATTACTCGGATAGAAATATATAAATATAAAAGTAAGTGTAAGTCACCTTTCTCTGTGGCTAATTGCAATATCACAAAAAATTAATTCCATTCCAATTGTTCTATTTTTTTTTTAATATTTAAATTATTTTTCTTTCAATGCTTAAATTGTCTAATTTTTTAACACCTAAATTGTTCAGTTTTAATACTTAAAAAATTTGAATACTTTACCATTTATTAATTACCTTAATTCCTTCTATGAATTTATTAAATGTATTTCTTTTAATTATAAATGAATTAATTGAAATTTTTCATGATAATTCACTATTAGCAATCATTTTTAATAGAATAATTTTAAATTTAGTTTATTATTTCATTTCAAATGCGACAAATTTTAATTGTCCTTCAATTAATTATTTTCCTCTGTTCAAGGCAACAACAATAATACATATCCGAAATGCTATATTCCGCTTAATTGCTTCTGTTCCTCACATTTTTATCATATGACAAAGAGAGAGAGAGAGAGAGAGAGAGAGAGGGAGGGAGAGGGAGAGAGAGAGAGGGAAGGGTTAGAGTAGATGTTTTGGCAGGTAAGTAAGAGTATAGGCCTGGCCTAATACTCTCAATAAATCTACTTTAAGGCCTAACTTGTCATTGCTCCAATTGCATTATCCTTACCCATTACATTCTAGCAATAGTTTAGTGAGCCTTATGGCATTCGTTTCAGGCCTAGGCTATGAAAATCTATTCAGTCTCATTTCTGTCCTTTTATCCTTCTTTTGCTTCCTTCTATAATACTTTTCTATCCGATTCAATTCAATACTTAGTCAATCGTTTTCTTTTTTTCTTTTTTTTCTGATGAATATTTAGAGAAAATTTTTAAAAAATTTAACAAAAGTTAAATTTGACAATTATTTCAAATTATTGGTGGAATTAATCGAAATTGATTATTTTAATAAGTAATTAGAGCAAATAATGATTATTGCATTTGTTAAATGTACAGTTAAATTTTATTTTTCCATATCAAATACAAAAATTTTTACGAAAATTAAGAGTTAATCATTGAGTAATTTGATAATGATTGATAATTAATGATAATAAGAGAATAATAGTTAGCCAAGTGCTATAAGTATAATTAATTATATTAATGAATGCCATTTTGCTAATATCATTTTTAGCTAAAAATGCTAAATTATCACATTTTATCTTCTTCATCCTCTTTCTTTATCAAATTATTATTATTATTATTATTATTTACTCTTCTTCTGCATTTCATTAAATTTATCATTTCTCTCTATGATTCCAACTAATGAATTGCTTTACTTTATTTTTGTGCTAAATAAAGTAAAAGAAATAGTTGTAAACAACATAAGCATCCAATCACAATTAATTGCTTTAAAAAAAAAATTATTATGATTATTAGAGTTGTGATCATTAATTATTTCTTATTATGTTATTGTTATTCATCTTTAATAATAGATTAACACTGAAAATTTACTTATCACCAAAATTCTTTCATTCAATTTTTATTTTTGTTAATTTCATAAATTAAAACAAATCTAATTGATATATTTTTGATTTCAAAAAAATTTCATATTTATTTGCATTAATTTGTGTTATTTAAATTTTAATCTAATCAAATAAGCATATCTTATCAATTAGCTTTAATTTATCTAATTTTATCACTTATCTATTAATGACAAATTGTCTTTTTTCTCATTTCTAATCAATAATTTTTTTTCAAAATTTTACAATTTTTTTTTCTTCTTTTTTTCTCTTTTTTTTTTTTTGTGGAAAGGAATTTTACAGTTTAACTAACATTGTAATTACCAATGATAAATGTAATATATAAGTGGCGATGAAAATTAGAAATTTTTAGTGAATTTTTTGTTGTTAAATGATGGCTGTTGTTGACGATAATATTGGCGTTTTTTTTTTTCATTTTTAATTAAATTAAAATGAAAATGATTGAGCGTTGATGAATGTATTTCATATTAGCTTTATTTATAGTTTATTCGAATTTCATTTTACTGCTTTTTATTTCCCATTTTTTCTTTTTAAAATTGATGAAATATGAATTTTTCCTTTTTTTCTTTTTTTTTTTTTTTTTTTTAGTTTGAAAGAAATTGATTTTGCATGCCTAGAAAGGGTTTTTATTTTTATTTTTTCAAGAAGAAATGAATTCTTTTAAAGACTTCTGCATTGCTGTATTAAAAAAGACAATTTGTATAGGTTGAAGAGTTACTTACAATAACTTTAAAATGTTAAAGAGTAAATTTCTTCTTTTGGTTACTATAATTTAAATATTTAGAAGGATGTATAATTGACCATAATTAATCAAAATTTCAATGTCATTTAGTATAATATTAACTTAAATTAATCTTTTAAGTCTTATTTGACATTTTGCACTTTTGGCTTTTTTTCATTTGGAAATAAAAATGATCGCAAATTTTTTAATGTTATAAAATAGATCAAATAAAAATTGTTAACAAAGTTTATTCATCAATTTAAATATTAATTAAAATCAATAAAGTACTATTTAAGGTAGTCCTAAATCTTATATTATACTGAGAGAGAGAGAGAGAGGAGAGGGAGAGAGAGAGGGACTCTATCTATTATCATCGTGTAAAAGTCGCAAATTATCTCTGATATTTTTGCATATATCACTGATAATGTCAAATATTCAGTACTTTGAGGTGACACACACACACACACATATATAATATATATGAAAATTCTTTCTTCTGCCTAAAAATTTGTCGTTTTTCTTTTTTCTTTAATCACAATGAATTGCAGGCGAAATTTTCTTGTTTACTTTTTAAAAAAGAGAGAAAGAAAGAAAGAAATTTACAATGCCACATATTTTATATTTATTATTTGCTATTACTGCTTGCCAAAATGAAATTTAAAACCTGAAAAGCATTGCTTCATTTCTAGTTTTGTTTTTTTTTTTTTCCAGTGGTTAAAATATGTGATATTGAAATTGAAAAATATGACAACAATTATATTAAATGAAAATTATTATAAATAATATTTCTTTTCTTTTCTTTTTTTATTTATTTTCTTCATTTTCTCTTAAATTTGAACCTTTTTTTTTTTTGTTCTTGTTGGTTCTTATTATTATCTTTTTATCTATATTTTCACCAAAAATTTCTGTCTAATTTAACAAAAAAGCATTTTCTAGAATATAATAGTAAAAAAATTCTTCATTTATACCTTATAGTTTATACTTATTAATTTTTAGAAATGACAATATTAACTGTTTAAAAGTTCAATATTTGATTATATATCAATTAAATTATCAGATATAATTCAACCATTATCAAAATTTAAAAAAAAAAAAAAAAAAGTTTAATATTTTAAAAATGTTACATTCAAAATTTGTATTTCATATTCACTTTTCCATTTTATTCTATTATTAATCATTATTTTATACCTATTTTATCATAGTTGTATTTTTTTTTTTAATATTTTCAGATTAAATTTTATCTGACATATATTCAATATATAATCATTAATATATTTTATATAATTCTTTTTTTTTTTCCTTTCCATTTCATTTATTTCTTAGTTTTTTTTCCTTCACTCATAAATTATTTCTTTCCAAAATAAAATATATTTTCTGCTTTCTTCATTAGCATATCCGTACGGATAGCATTGGTGTTGTTTATTATGAAAGTGAATATTTGATTGAATGGAAGAATATTGGATGAAAATAGAAATGACAGAACTAACTAACTACTTTACTTCTACTACTACTACTACTGCTACTCACTATTACTTTTCATGAATGAATGGTTGAAAAGAGAAAGAGGAAAAAGATAGCTTTGGCTTTAGCTTCATTAATTTTATTTACTATTTAAATAGCTTCTGTCTGCTTTCTGTTGGTTTCTTCTTACTTTGGTCTGTAATGATTCTTCCATTGCAACTCCAAATAGTTCATTTGCTTAGGTTAAAAAAGCTAAGCTAAGCTAAGCTAAGCTTACTTCATACGTTATCTATAATTGTGACATCCTTTCAATTTCTTATTCAAATGTTATTTTATATTTATTTCTCTTCAATACTATCAATAAGCTTTTGTTTTCAATTAATAAAATTAGTTAAATGAATTTTATACCAATGAAAATATTGTTTATTTTAATTTTATATTTTATCAATTCTTCAACTTTATAAGGATACTATGTGAATTTAAATATATTGTAGTTTGTTTGATTACTGTTAATTTATCAGTTCCTTGTAAGCAGTATTTGATATGAATTCATTCAATTACTGTTAACTTATCAGTCTCTTTTAATCACTGTTAACTTATATGTGTAACTCAAAAATATGAATTATAATTGATTAAAAAGAAAGCGACATGTGAACATATTCCTAAATAGATATGTTTATAATTTGATTTATCCATTAATTCAATCAAATAAACTACAAATACTTTCTCTTCTTTACATACTTTTTATCTAGTCATTTCTTACTAATAATTATATCGATAATAAATAGAAATGATTGTCACCAGATTTGGCGGTAATTGTCATCGGTTGTGGCGGTGATTTTTCTCATTGTGTATGCCGTTGAAATAAATTCTCAACAATTTTTAATTGATCTGATATAATTGAAGTGTAGATGATGATGAGAAAAGGATGAAAAGAATGAATTTTTTTAATCCTAAAAATAATATAAATTTGAAAACTTTACAATTCATGTATGTATGTGTGTGTGTGTGTGTGTGTGTGTGTGTATGTGTATGTGACCAATATAATCCAAGTAAATTAGCTTTAAATATGAAAAGGATAAGAAAGGCCATCCATCCATTTATTCATCTATGATTGCTCTTTAGGTATTCGATGAAATTTTAGTTTGGGGTGGAAATAAATTTGTTCCATGCAATGTGTTTACCTGTGTATGTATGTGTGTATGTGCGTGTATGTGCGTGTATGTGTGTGTATGTTTGTCTACTTTGTATATATTTGAATTGAATGAAATTTGCAGGTGATATTATGATGTTTCGCTTAATGTATCTACCATAAATGATTGGTAGATGACCAATTATGCTACTACTACTACTGCTGAAGTCACTTTAGTATTATTATTAATTATTGATGAGTGAGTGTTGTGTATGTTTGAAGTACTATTGCCATACCTCATCTATCATTTATTCCATTCCTAGCTATAATTACAGGTTAATGAAAGGGACAGGTAGATTATAATAATAGACACACTCATATATTCATCTCTCTCTCTCCCTCTCTCTCTCTCTCTCCCTCTCTCTCTCTCTCATTATTGAAAATGAAGGACATTTTTTAATTGAGAAATATAAAATTATTAATCTGTTGTCTTGTTTCCGTTGACACTTTTCATTTCATATCTTTCATACATTTTCTCTTCATTTATTTCTTTAGGTAATAAATTGAAAAGTTAATTACTGTTTTTTTTTTTTTTGGTAAAAAGAAGAAAACTTGAAATCATTAAAGAATATTGGTAACAATTTTTTTTCTTTTTTTTTTTGAAGAATGAAAATGAAAAAAGAAATAAAGTGAATTGTTCAAATTTTAAATCTAATATCCAATTAAAATGCATAAAATTGTTTGATATATACATAAGTGTCATTTGTAGAGATAAGGTGACACGGTGAAGAATCAATTTGATTGTTATTTTAAGTATAACTGTCACTATTCCTTATTGAATCTATTCAATGAATTTGTTTGCCTCTTTCAATTTCCATCATATTTTATTATCGTTCTCATCAAAATGCACTTCAAAATTACCTACTTGTCATGGGTGGACAATTTATGATCGTCAAAGTTTTGTCGAATTCTACCACAAATACTACGGATGTCATATAACAATTCATACAGAGTATTATTTATTATTATTATTACTAGTATTATTATTAATATTATTATTAAAATATTATTGTTCAGTAATTTAAATAATTCCATTCTTATTTGAAATATGATTTAATTACTGTATTATTAGCAGTATTAATTATAATAATGGTAAGGTCATTTGATAATTTCTATATTTTTGCATCTAAATAATTTAAAAGTTATATTTTTGGAGAAAGGTAAACAATTTTGTGTCACTTTCATCCTTTCATATGAATCTTTTGTTGTCCTTTTCTTTTTTTTTTCTCATCAACTAATGATTGATTACTATTTAAAATGTAATTTTACTACATACTCTTTCAATTATTTCATTATATTCATCTCGTAATATGTTTACATTAAAAGTTTATATTTACTTTTTTCTAAAGTATACGTGTATATACGTACGTAAGTGATATCCGTGAAGAATAGATTGTTATAATTTTTAAAGATTTATTTGATATAAGAGAATTTGAAATGATTTTTTTCACAGAATCTTTTTCTTTTCTTGCTCATTCCTCTTCTTTCTCTATTTCTTTCATTTTTTCTTTTTCTTTTTTTTTTTTTTTTTTTTTTTTGCTAGAAATTTGATTTCAAATTTAATTGAAATTATATTTTTTACAGATAATCAGTTAAAAAGAAAAAAAGCAGGAATTTTTTTCTTTTCCGGAAATGAATAGAATTTACATTGTTAGAGTTTTCCTGAAAATAATTTCATGAACCTGATCCATATATCAGAAAAAAATAAAACTAGCATAGCTAACACATTTGCAAAAGCTCTTAACAATGATCTGTGAATAATTCATTTAGTTTTATTAAATATTTTTAGGATTATAAAATATTTCACAAATATTTAAATTTAACTTTTCTTAAATAATTTAATCTTAAATAATTCTTATTCTTTCGATATCAATGATTGTTTTCATTAATGTTCTTTTCTTTTTTTAATAGTTATATAAAGTTAATTTCAGAAATTTTTAAACAAATTTCAACAAGATCATCATCATCATCATCATCATCATCATCACCATCATCAACAACAACAACAACAACAACAGTCTTTAACTAGTCGTTGTAGTCGATTTCATACAGTTAATGAATATGAATCACAAGGAATAGACGAAGGTCAATCATCACTAATCAATAGTTCACGAAATGATCAAACTCAGTTATCATCCAGATGTATTCCAGTCACGGTGAAATGTTGTGGTACGAATGATTCTAATAATAGCATTTCCGGTGCAAATCAGGTTACCGGTGATGCTACAACTAAATTAATTATGCAAAGGTATGATAGTTTCAATATATCTTTTCAATTTATTAATTTCATTTTTAATCATATCATATCAATTTTTCTCATTCAAAAAAGAATGTTCTTTTTTTTTTTGTTTTCTCTTTTTTAAATTATTTTAAAATTAATTTTTTAATGAATATAAAACGATTTTTTAGGTATAAAATTAAATCATCACATTATCCATCACCAGGTATTAATAAACGATATTGTTCTGCTGCACCATCTATGGATCATAATTTACAACCGGGAACCTCTGTTGATTCAGGATCCGGTTACAGTGAAGGAACTGTAGCAACTAATGGTATGATAAGAAGAGATTAATGATATGAAATGAATTTTCAGCAATTGTTTTAGGAGAGAAAAGTTTTTCGAGGGAGAGAGAGAGAGAAATGAACAAAAAAGAGTAATTGTTATGATAATTTTTTCTTATCATAGTTATTTTCAAAATGATATTATTGGTTAAATGATAATTGTGCATTGTGTTATTAGAAATATATTTATTTCTTCGTATCAAAAATTATAATCAATTTTATACATAAACAAAATTATTGCACTCTTTTTCTTTTTTTTTTTTAAACAAATTTGATAAAAAAAAAAAAAAATTATTTATCAGATTTGTTTAAAATTTTCATTTGATACTATTTTTAGATCTGTTCTTTTTTTCCTATATTTATTTAATTTTTTGTTATTTAAGATGATCAAACGATCAATACATCAACACCAAAAACTATTCGTAAGTGGAAAAAAACAAAAACAATAAAACAACAATGTTCAACTAGTCGATCTGATCAACAACCACCTCAACATTCATCTGCATTAGGTCAAAAAATTGTTGATTATCCTACAAGTGGTAGTGGTGATGTAAGTTTTCTTTTGTTATTGTTATTGTTGTTGTTGTTGTTGTTGTTGTTTGACTAAATAATTTTAGAGAAAATTAGTTGACGTAATGTTAGCAATTTTTTTATAAGCTAACTGAATGTTTCATTTAATTATTTGATTTTAATTATTTAATCTAATTAGATTTGTGATATATATACATGTATAGATTACCTTGGATAACTTGATATGAGTAATTACAGGTAAGAGGAGTACTATTATTAAAAATAGCATTTAAATTAGCTAATTTGCTTTGTTTAATTTTGATTATTTAATTAAATGTATTCTTAATATTATTCTTAACATTAATTATTGTATATAATTATTCTTACCATTATTATATATAACTATTCTAACTTAAAATTATTCTTGACATTTAATAAGTGTTAGGAATAATTTTAAGTTCGTTATTTTGCTAAATAAACTTTTTTCAGTGATTTTTGAAGATAAGATAAGATAAGATTTAAATTGATATTATTTTAAATTTTCATACAATGACATATATTTTGATATGTTCATTTTTAATTTAGCATTTTCTTCTCTTCAACTCATTTTATTTTTTCATTTTTTTTTTTTCTTTCCTTTTGAAAATGTGCTATCTATCAGAATTAAAGTAATCATGGAATCAATATGAAATATCAATAATTTTAATAATTTCCATTATATTATTCATTTGATGAAAATGAAAATTTCTATTTTCAAATTTTTCATTTTCATTTTTTTTTCCTTTCTAAATCTTAATTATATTATAACAAAAATAGAATTTCTTGAATTTTTTTTTTTTTGCAGATGGTACCATTAATTATTAGATTATGTGTAAAAGTAGTAGAAGCAAATGGTATGGATACGGTTGGCATTTATCGAATTCCGGGTAATACGGCTGCTGTGAATGCTTTGAAAGAAACACTTAATAGTGGTTTTGCAAATGTAAATATTTGAAATTTAAATTTAAAAAAAAGATACGAATTCTTAAATTTCTATCTTATATTAACAAAATTTATGAATGAAAAATAAATAAATAGAGATGAAAAGAGTAAAAGAAAGAAACAATCATCAATCTTTCAATGTATAATTCATTTTGAAATATTAAAAAGTTTCACATTTAACATTTTAATAGAATTAATTTTATTTTATAGAATTAATTTTAGAATTAATTTTTTTTTTTTTTTTATTGAAGTAAACATTACTAAATTTTATTCAAGTGCTAATAATTTAAAATATTTTCCAATAAAAGTGTATGTTATAATATGTTGAATAAAAATTAAGCATAATAATTAGCTATTGGAAAAGAAGAAAAATTCAAAATATTAACCATTTGTATAATTTAATTTTATTCATTTACTTCGACTAATATATTAAATTACCAATCAAAAAAAAAAATTCCTTTTCTTTTCTTTTACATTTTTTTCAGATCGATTTTACGGATTCAAGATGGAATGATGTAAATGTTGTAAGTAGCCTATTAAAAATGTTCTTGCGTAAATTACCGGAACCGTTGCTAACAGATAAATTATATCCATTTTTTATTGATGCAAATCGAATTGCTTCACATCCACAACGATTACGCAAACTTCGTTATTTAGTAAATTATTTGTTCTTCCAAAAAAAAAAAAAACTGAAAATTTTTGTTTTCCTTTATGATTTTATATATATTTTTTAAATAAATATGCGAGTTTTTTTTTTTGAAAAATGGAAAATGCTTCTTCTCTTTAATAGAAAAAAGTTTTTTTTTTTTTTTTTTTTTAAAGTTGAAAGTAAATATACTTTGGTAATTAAACTTATATGAAATGATTTATGTTTATTTTATAGACTCGTAAACTTCCTTCTGCTCATTATCAAACATTGAAATATTTAATGGAACATTTAAGAGCGGTAGTTGAACACAGCGATGTTAATAAGGTTAACTTACAATTAAATTATTTGTTTTAATTTTTTTTTTTTTTTTTTTGAAAGAACTTTTATTTAATAATCATTAAAAAAAAAAATTGATAACTAACAAAGAAATTTAGTCGAAAGACTTTTTTAAGAAATTTCTTATTTGCCAATCAAATAAGCATACTGTATACTTTTGCAGATGGAAACGCGTAATTTAGCATTGATGTTTGGTCCATCAATTGTAAGGCCAAGTGATGACAATATGGCTACCATGGTGACACATATGTCTGATCAATGCAAAATTATTGAAACATTCATTACATATGTATGATTCATTTAATTGCTTACTAATTACAAATTAAACTATTACCTATTCAAAATTTAAACTTTTAATTTTAAGACAAATAAGAAAACATGAATGAAAGAAAAACAAATATATTTTAATTTATTATATGATTTTATAAAATTATACAATTGTTTATCATTATTTCTATTTTTCTTTCCTTTTTTTCCTGAATTTTTTAAATTAAAAACTTTTTGATTATAGTGTGATTGGATGTTTGATGATAATATTACGATGGATGATGAAGTACCACCACAAATTTTCACATCAAATGATTCTGCTACTGGTAGTAATGTTGCAACTGGTAATAGTGAAAATGAATGCAGTATTACTACTTCATCATTTAATGATATGCATAATTTAATTAGACGTGTTAATGAGGCTGAAGCTATTGCTTTAATGGATGCACAAAAAAGTGGAAAGGTAGTAATAGCATTTAATTATTGCATATTATTAACAAATATTTAATAATTTAATCTAAAATATAACTAACTATAATTGTTCATAACCATTATCAATTTTAGATAAAACAGATTTTAAATGTGCGACGCAATTCGAAACGTGAAAAACGAAAGAAACTACGTGATCATTCAATTCATGCTCCAAGTATTTCATCCACGCAAAATATAAGTAAAGTTACGAGAGTAATGGATAGTACTGCTAATACATCCGAACATTCAGTTACAGGAGTTTATCAGGTTTATATCAGTTTAGATTATCAGATTATCATTTTTTTACTTGCTGATATCTGAGATAATTTTTTTATCCTAATTTGATATATTTGTGAAAATTGAATTCTGTAAAGATATTTTTATCATTCATTTCCCTAACATCGGAAGTTACATCTTGTAGAATTACAGGAACGTGATATCGACGCTGAAATAGCGTCACGTCAACAGCAAACTCTAGGCAAGTGCACGCAGCAGTACGCTGGTACCAGTTCATCAGCTGATCATTCGCCTTCGCTTGGTTCGTCGCATGATTCGACATGTCATACAGTGACGTCTCCCTTCAATTTATGCGAAATAAAAGATGAAAGTGCGGGAAATGTACTGAATTGTACGGAAGCAGATGAAATGAGACGTCGAAGACAAAAGGTCTTTTTTATACTAATTACATTCTACTTTTAGACTATTTCAATTTTAGTTTTAATTCTAATCGAAATTCGAAATAACTTTGATATATATTAATTTTTTTTATTAAAATTAAATTTTAATAACAATGGGTAGCTAATTTTTGTGGCTTTTTTTGTTGTTGAACAACAAAAGAAATGAGCTAAAACAATTTTATTAAACTTAATGTAAAATTCATTGCTATAGGATAGTAGATAGGTGCTACTACTGCTACTACCATATATAAAAACTATGATATTTTAAAAGTATAACACTAATATTTAAATTTTGAGATTTTTTTTTTTTTTGAAAGTAATAAATCATACTATTTGAATTGCATAGATTTGAATGAATTTCTTTTTTTTTTTTTTTTTTTTTTGTTTGTTTGTTTGTTTATTTTATTTAAATTAAAATTATTTCGTTTGATTTTTAGGAAATTTGTTCTGCACGACGAATTTTTATTGCTGGTACAGATGCTGATCTAGATGATACGGATGCTGATTTGGATGAACTTGTTAATCATTCTCGTCATCTTAATTTAGCATCGTTACCAACGCTTGATGTATTAAGCGCTGAAACACGTGAAAAAATTCGACGTTTACAACAACTTCAAGGATGGGCATCTACTGCACTTGAAAGACGTGAAATTGAAATGGGAATGAAAACGAAGCATTGTCTTCCACAAAAGATTCATGACGAAGTATTACGATTATTATTTTTTGCTATTTGAAAATTAATTTTATTATTTTAATTTAAAAAAAAAAAAAAATTATTTTTTCTAAATTGAGTAAAATGTTAATAATTGATAAAATTTATACTTCAATCTTTTACACTTAACATTTTTTCTTTTTCCAGAAACCACCACCACCACCACCACCACCAGCAGCACCAGCAGCAGTACAACCACAACCGCCATCATCACAATCAGTATCAATGAAGACAACAACAGCAGAAGAATTTTCATCCACAGATGCTTTATCATTAACATCTGATTACAGCACGACATCATCTGCACCTTTAACTATACCTGTGACAATTTCTTGCATTGATCATTTGGCTGCTGCAAGTAGTGATTATGCGTCCAGTGATTTGTCACCATATACACGTAATGCTAGTGCATCACCGAGACATCCTGATTTAGAAGCTGCAGAAGTAAGTCATTTTAGAAATAAAATTTTTAACTTTTATACAAAAAAAAAAGCAGAAAGTATTAATACTACATTTTATCATTTAATAGTAAAGAATTTTTTCCTTTTTTTATCATATCATTTATTTATGATCATAATCTTGAATTGTTATGATTATTTTTTTTTTTTATATTAAAATTAAAAATTTTTTTTTCTTGTTGTTTAGTTTTAATATTCAGGAAAGTATCATTTTCAACATTTGATTTATTTGTTCAGGTAACACAACTTAATTTTTCCTCCGGTATTTCTGATCATTTTAAACGATCTCATCAAGGAATGCAATCATCCACTAGCGAAGATTGCTGTAGTGGTTCCAGGGATCAGGAAGATGTAATGCTTGGAATACCTTTATCATGTCAATATTTGCTTATCACTGAGACGAAACGTTCAGAAAGTCAGCCAAAGGTATTCATTCATTCACTGTTTATTATCATATTAATTAAACACAGTATAAATATTAATATTCATCCTTATTTTCATATTTGAACAAAAGATTTTGATTTATTTAAATTTGAATTTAAGATAGAATTGGAGTAAAATGAATTATAAAGAAACATTTGAAATACGAAGTAATTTTTCAAAATTTGAATCAATTTTAAATGTTTGAATTTAATGCAAAACCTTAAAATAAAGTTACAAAAGCAAACATTTTTAGCTTCATCGATCTCATATGACAGTTTCGGAATCTGAAATGGTAGATGCTATGCCGATTCCGGTAGCTCAGTATTGTGAGAAAGTTCCATCTATTGATGGATCTAAAATGAAAACACATGTTAAAATGAGTGATCGACGAGAGTTATGGAGGAGACATACACTCAGTGATATGGATATCATTCGTAAGGTTACTTTAGTCGAAAGTTTACTTTAAGTTATTTTATATAAAGTAAAGTTAAGATGTTCACTACTCAACGTACCACCATAAATAACCTTTTATTTGAACGGAAATTTATTAAATAAAAAAGGTTTCATTGAAGAGATGAATTCTCATAAAAAAATGATCACTTTTATCACTTATATCATACATTCATAATAAAATAATATTTCAGAGTTTAAAAGAAGAAATGAAACGTAAAAGCAGTGCATCAATAACCTCACAAACCGGAAATACACATTCAAATATTGGTATTAAAGTAAATAAATTTGCTGAATTGATGAAGAATTCCTCAACTGTATTTGTAAATGATGGTACCAATGAAGGTGAAAGAGTTGAAATTAGAAATAATAGTATCACTTGTGGTACCAATAAAAAACCTATAACTAAGATGACATTATCAACAATACCAAAGATTGTTAGATCAACAGATGGTAGTATTTCATCGTCAATTGGATCAAATGGTGACATGACATCACCAAGTGAAGTTTTACCTTCTTCGGGTGATGAACAATTATGAGCTTATTCCTTCATTTATTCTTTCTTTTTTCTTTTTCCTAAGATTTTTTTTTTTTTTTTTTGTAAATTTCAAAATTTATTAATTACAATTAATTGGAATAATTTTATCAATATTTTTCTTTCTTTTTTTTTTAATAATAGTTTTTAATTTTAACATATGAAATCATTGTCATTTCTTTTTTTTTTCCCATTAATATATTTCAATGATTTTTAAATTCTTTAAAAAATTTTTTTTCTGTAATTTCAATGTCTTTCGAAATTTTTTGAAAATTTCTTCTTTTCTTTTCATGCTTTTTTTATCTCTCTCTCTCTCTCTCATCGATTCTTTGTGATGTGAATGTAAATAAGTTGCGATAAATTAATAAATCTATTTGTGCTAATTTTTTCTGCTATATAAATGCTTATGTGATAAGTATACTTGTAATGATTCAATTTATTTTGATTTAAAAAAAAAAAAAAAAAAATTTTGATAATAGTTTTTTGTGATATGCGATAAATATTTAGCTCACTTTATACCAATTTTTTTGTTAATAATGATAATCGAAACGAAGAAATCATTTGCAAAATATGCATATGTATATGATAATGTATTATTATTATTACTTCTCAATTTTCTAATTAATTTAAAATGAAAATTATATGAAATTAATTTAAAATATTACTATCACTTGTCGAAAAGTCGGTGAAATATGTCAAAAGTTAAATTTTAAATTCATTTTTGTTAATTCATTCTTTCTTTCTCTTAAGTTCTTGAAGATACATGTATTTTTTCCCACTTTATTACTAATATTTTTGCATAAAATTTCTTATTCATTTTATTTTATTTATTACTAAATAATATCTTCAATATTATTTCTCATAAATCAATTCATCATATAAAATTGCTTTACATTTTTCATTGTTTTCTTCTTTCTTTTTTTGTTCCATTTTTTTTTTTTTTTTTTGAAAATTTTCATTTGTTTAATTTTCATTTGTTCATTCTAAAATAATTATTGAAATTGTTGTGAGCGATATTCGTGTGTTTATTGTTTCATTTCTGTTATTTTCATCTTTTGCATATTTTCAAACTTTTTTTTAATGCTCTATTTTGCACAGAAACTCTTCCCTTCACCAAAAGTGTGTTAATGTATTATTGTTTTAGGTATTTTTTTTTTTTATTTTAATATTTCTTTTATTAATTGGAATATTTGTTTGTAATATCTTTCACATTTCGCTTGTATAATTTTCTTCATTTTATATAAAACTTTAATTTTTATTTTAATTGTATGCATATTTCTTTACTTTCCTCTTTTATGCTTATTTGGAGATAACATTGATAAAATGAAATGAAGTAAATATGTGATTAAAAAAAACAATTTATAACATTTATTGAAACATACATTCTGGCGCAAAAAGTTTATAATACTTTGAAATTGCCAATATTAACTGTACTGAACTTTGATGAATTCAAGTTAGACCAAAAAAGAAGAAAGAAGAAAAAAAAAAGAATAATCCATTTCCATAGCAGAATTTAAGAATTTACAAAAGTTTGAACTTCCAGGAACATTAAAAAATTATTTTTTCTGATCACTTTTCAAAGGTAAAAACACTTCACATCTTTCAAAAGTGTTCAGAATTTCTTCTTCATGACACAAATGCAATTTTCTTTCTTTTTTTTTTTTTTTTAAACAAATAATTTGAAATTTTGTTTCAAAAAAAAAGGAAAGGAAAAGAATTCATTTCACATCAAAATCAATACTAAATAATATTCTAAAAATTATATTTCGAACATAATTGAGTGAATGATTTATCGTCAATGTCACACAGTTCAAATGACTATTTATAAATAAATGTCCCAAATTTGAGGTATTTTTATTAAAAGTTGAAATGAAATTTGTGTAACAGCTATTCTAAGAGAATAAGGTCAATAGCAATGATTGAAAAAATGAACTAAAAAATACGAAATGAAAGATAAATAACTGAATGAGTTCGTTGTTTGGTTGTTCATTCATGAGAAATGAGGGCGGTACTGATTAATGATTGATTTAGATCAATGAATGAATGATTATTGAACCAGAAGTGATACGATCATATATTATCATACCTGTCTAGGTCAATCACACAACAACATCATGATACAATCAATCTATTTACTACTACTAATACTAATTCATGTATTTGTGATAGTTGGCAATGTAAAATAGCGCATTTGTTTTCTTTTTTAAATTATATTTAACAATTTTTTTTTTTTTTTTTTTTAAATCAAATTTGTTCTAACTCGTTTTTCTTTTTTTTTTCACTAATAAATAAACGCTGAAAGAGTTTTTCAATATTTATGGAAGAAATTTAATTTTAGGTAAAGCGAGAATACAATTTAGATCGAACAATAACAATAATTATTGTGCTATTATAGTTTTTGTGATAATAATAATAATAGTAATATTATTGTTATTATCTTAGCTGTATTTGTTTATATTTCCTTTTTCTTTCTTTTTTTTTTTTTTTTGTTTGTATATGGAAGCAAAAGTAACAATGCTGTATTACTTAATTCTCATTACATTTGTTGTCTTTTTCAATTTGACAACTGCATTCCCGCATGTAAGTTTTTGTATTTAAATATAAATTTTTAATGAAAAAAAAAAAAAAAAATGCTGAAAATGAATTTAAATTAAATTTGAGATTGAATTAGTAACTAATACTATTAATTAGAAAATTTTACAGTAAAAAGTAAGTTTTGATTATAATAAATAATTAATAATTCCAGAAAGATGCACAAAAAGATTCGAAAGAAATGGGGAAAATTATAACAAAAACAAGTGATGAGGTAATAAACAAAAATTTCCCAAAATATTCCTATTTAAGTTTTCAATTTTTTTTTCTTTTTTTTTTAAAAAAAAAAGTCTCTTATAATCTGAAATGATAATTGAAATGATAAAACATTTTGCAGAAGCCATCGGGAAATCTCGGTCTTATCAAAACTGATGAAGAAGCGGTAAATGATCATTCATTTTAGCTATAATATTTTTCTTTAATTCAATTTTTTAAATTAGTTTTAATTAATGTTTCATCGTTGTTTCAATCATTATTTTTATCTTGCATTACATTTCCACCTTAAATCTTTAACAAATTTTATCAAACATTGTGAAAAAGTATTTTAAATTAAGAAATATGATGCGATATTGTTAGTGTTGTAAATAAAATATGCATAAATCAAAATAACAAAATTAAATGTACAGGTAAAAGATAAAGCAAACATTATATCTGGACATTTATTATCATTATTATTATTATTATTATTATTATTATTATTATTATTATTATTATTATTATTATTATTATTATTATTATTATTATTATTATTATTATTATTATTATTATTATTATTATTATTATTATTATTATTATTATTATTATTATTATTATTATTATTATTATTATTATTATTATTATTATTATTATTATTATATTATTATTATTATTATTATTATTATTATTATTATTATTATTATTATTATTATTATTATTATTATTAATATTATTATTGATATCATTAATGTTAGTTATAAAATAGATAAAGCAAATATTACATCTGGATAGTTAATGTTTGTCATTTATTATTACTATTATTATTATTATCATCATTATTATTATTATTATTATTATTATTATTATTATTATTATTATTATTATTTTATTTCTTAGCAATGATATTTTCATTCCATTAATTTTTGATTTGCAACGATTTTAATTACAGTTAATTTCTCTCAATAATATTTGTATTATTTTAGATTTGTGAAGATGAATTATGCAATAATCGAGGCACATGTATTGGCAATAAAGATACAAACTTTTGCATTTGTAGGCTTGGCTATACTGGAATGCATTGTGAAAATTGTTCGTTATTTCTTCTATCATCATTAATTAAATTCTTTGAATCACAATTAATGCAACGAAAAGTTTTCATCTGAATATTTCATTCGATAGTTTTATAATTTACTAATTAGTACTTTTTATTAATTATAATTTGCTAATTAATAGTTTTTTTATTAATTTATTATATAATTTCTTCTATTCTTACATTTTTTTTTTTTTTTTTTCATTTTCAATTGTTGCAAATGCTATTGTTCTGTTCATTAAAAATAAAAATAAAAGAAAAAAAAAATGAACTAAAAAATTAAAATTATAGTGTAAAAAGATTTTTAAAAAAAAAAAAATAAAATGAAAATTAAATCTATTTAAAATCAAAATTAAATCATTATTCATATCTATATTATGAATGCTTATCTATATGATAAATTTAATCAGATTGCAAATTATTATCATAGAAATTTTATTTTATCTTTTAAATTTATCAAAATTATTGCATTTACAGCTCCATGCGATTCAACAAAAGATTGTAACGGTAAAGGATTATGCATTGGTACATCGACAAGTCATACTTGCATGTGTCAATTAGGTTACACTGGTGAAAACTGTGAAAAGAATGTTAGAAAATGATTTATTGAGATGATAATATTAATATATTTATTCTTTGTTCAATTCATTCATCATTTTATTATTTCATATTTTAAACATTTTTTTTTTTTCTTTTTGTTTTCTTGTTTTTTTCTTTTCTTTTATTACATTTATTTATGTTAAAATTGTAAAATAATAGATGGTGTTATCTATTCTATTATTGTAAATGTTTATTTGTTACTATGTTTAATTAATTTAAAAAAAAAAAAGGAAAAAAAAAAGAAACAACTGCAAACATAATTATCACAAAACTATACAATGAGATATTTGAATAATTTAATTTTACAAATCGAATATCAATTGCTTCAAATATTACTACTTATTCATTCATATATTACTATCTATGAAAGTAATTTGTTATTAAGCGGTTTATAATGCAAATAATTGTTTGAAAAATTTTTCTCTTTCAATAAATAATTGACCATAAACAATCTACGAAATATATTTCCTAATAAATTAGTGAATGATGAGTGGATAAGACTGAAAATAGGTTAATGTTACAGGTAAAATTGATATTAATTAAGTTACAGGTAAATCTGAATTGATTAATTTATAAGTTTGCAAATTAATTCCTGAAAGTTTGATTTATATTTAATCTGTTAATGCTTCCCATATCATAAATACCAGTAAACAAACCGCTCTTCCAGCAAATCATCACAAACCAAACAAATTATTTTTTCAGCACGGGCAGAAATACCCGAGGACTTACCCGATGCAACTATTCAGTTTCTTGTTGACTTTTTAACAAACTAGGCTTATTGTTATAGCTATTATTGTGTAAACATTTCTGGCAGAAAGGTTGAAATTTGATCCTTCACAAATTTAAACAAAGAATTGATACTAAGGAACACAATGATAAGTGATAAGACAGAATGATATATTGCAAATGTCGTAGAGTCTTATATTTTATCTTAAAGATGCATATGTTCGCATAAATTATATTAATCATTTCTTTATTAGAATTATTCTGAGCAAAGAATTTTACCATTTGATTAAGATAATATATGAAAATAATTTTTAGAAATGGAATAAAGGCGGTGAATTGCACAAAAATCGAGAAGTTTACTTCGAAATTCGAATTTCAAATAGTAAAGTCTGTGTGATCGAAGAAAACAGCAATTTACAATGCTATTCCATAACGCATAGCAGTGGTTTTCTTGTTTTTCTCGATAGCAATGGAAGTTTTTCGAAAGGTAAGAGTCATTTTATTGATTTCCTGAATTGTTTTATCAGTTAAGCAACATTCTTATCAGTTGCAAAGTTGAAATTTGATATTGTGTTGCTGAGTTATCATTGTATTACAGAAGTAAATCACAAATGATAATCGCATATTTGTGACTTATTCAACAATGGATTTAACAAAAGTATGAAGTTTTCGTAGTAATTTTGATAATTCTTCGAAATTTTCCTAAAATTTAAATTTGAAATGTTCCAATGTGGCAAATTTCTTTTTGTGTTTGAGATCTTCAGCTAGTGAAAAATCTGTTCTGCAAAATTTTATTATGGACGTGCTGCCAATGATCAGTTTTCGAAACATTAAATATTTAAATAAAATTTAGTTTGAATTTTTGGGAGATAAGTTTTCATAATTCCAGAGTTCTTCCTTCGTACTCAAAATTAATTCTTCATTTGTTTAACAAATTTTTATAAGAGAAGATAAAAAATAACCATAATTATCTGTCAAAACATGCCTATAAAATTATGGAGAAATATCCTGTTATGATGTTTACTGTTCCGTTCAATGAAAGAATTACAATTATTTTCATTGGTAATGCTACAGTTTTATTTCGGATACCTGAACGCTGTTTTCTGAGTGATAGTTTTATCTTCTTAAATGGTTGTATGTTATTCATGCACTGATTAAATTTACCAGTATGAGAACCTGTATCTTTGAAGTTTGTTCTAAATTTTTAGAAACATGCTCAATCTGCTTTGATATCGAGTAATCTTTTCTGTTGCTTTATCTTCGTGAAATGCTGTCATAGACTTATGCTGGATTTTATATGGCTTTCGAATTCAAAATTTTTGAATTACAAATGAGTTTCAGTTGGAAGTTCCTTCTCAGAAAGCCGCATCCAATTCACATATCGGTGAAAGTTGTCGTTTAGATAAAAACGATGTTTTATTGCACAGAGCTGTTTCCAAACTATCTTTATGGTATGTTCATTTATAGTAAATATGGTTTATAGTTGATTTATTTTACGATAGTTTATGTTAAACACTTCTAGTAATTTACCTTGATTCACGTTAATGGGATCTCGAAGAAGAGCTATATGAGCTCATCTCATAAAGTGCAAAAATCGAAAGATTGCATTCCATCTTTCATTTCCTTATATTTTAATAAGGTGACATTCCTCATAATTCTTTAATGTGCCATTTGCCACTCCTGTGATCTTAGCTATCGATTGGTGAGCGACTAATTATGATGACAGTTCGTTAATATAAAATTATTTCTAAATATAAAAGTAATTGTTTAAGTTCAGGGAAATAGCAGAATGGTTCATTCTAAAAGACGAAATATTGGATAGAAGCATCTATGGAATAGTGGTAAAACGTTTACTTAAAGCTTCTCACGAATTTGATCTGACTGATCGAGAAAAGAAAGGAATATTGCAGCGATGTATAAAGCAGTGCTTTCATGGTGTATTCATGCAACGATCAGGTGTAGACCTAAAAATTCTCAAAACTGTACTGAAGTTGCAGAGGGAACTTGATGTCACAGCATATCAGGTTTGAATTACATTACTTGCGATATAATATAATTCCTTATAAAATTCTCTGCAATTCACTTTTTCAGAAACTTCTTTTTTTCTTCTATATTTTTAACTCTTTCAATTTTTGTTCTCTATTTTCAAAAGTTTATTTTATTGAAGCAGTTCATGTGGTTGTGCATGTTACCAAATGCTTTAAAAGAGAAATGGGCTCTGCTTGCATCAGTAATACCTGCGCTGAAACTAGATGAGGTATATCTTTTTAATCGTCTTACTTGTTTGTATTGAATTTTAGTAAACGTATAAATACTTTCATTTCTGATTACTTAATAAAAAAGATGAATGAATTTGACAATGTTCATTTGGTAATTTCTTTACAAACTTGAAACAATAATTTTTGATATTATTTCTTATAAATGGTAAAATATCGAAACTTAACTTCTACAAAGTCTGACTGAACTTCTTCAACAAAGTTTAATAATAATTACGATGAGACAATATTAAAATGAGATACGATGAACCTGATGACCGCTGAAAATCAAATCACCGGAAGTTTACGAATGGATTTAATCAAATTTTAATAAAAATAGATCGCCGATATATGATCATATCCAGCACAACCGAATGATTTTTTTTTGTTACAAACATTGAAAATAAAATTTGCAGATATATATTAGTGAAAATATACTGATGTCAGTTCTTTGGAGAGCTCAAGCGCGTCATTCTAGTGGCTCCGTGACATCTGACTGTTTGCTTGCGTGGTTCATTAATGATAGCAATGATTGTCAAAGCTGTGCTCGATTTCTGGCAAATTGCTTAATATCTTCCAATCGGTTAGATTCTGAAAATTTATGTAAATCAGAATACTAACATGTTTTTGTCGATATTGGTTGATCATTTAATCACAGACCACGTTCTTTTTAGAGGATGAAAATTGAAATCCTCAGGAAATTTCGTAACGATTTCCGTAATGATCTCTTTATTGAGTTGTTCTATAATCGGTGCACAAACTTTAGTATTATTTCATCTAACGAGATACTAGTTAATAGTTATTATTTGGTTTTGATTTAGAGCATAATAAGAAATGCTATTGTCACTACCTTATTTTTTTTAACTTGCAGCAAAAGCATTTCATGACAAAACTGACAAATGACAAAAATTAGTTAAAGAAATTACTTGAAAGCGGAGGAAGTATAGCTGTGATTTCAGAATGCGTCGCTTAAATAGCTCACGGTTTTGGCTGGCGAAATTGAACACTAATATCAAGTCTAAATTGATAATGAAAGAAACTGCTGAAATCATCTTGCAAATGATTTCGACAGAAAATCGATCTTTCGAGCAAACTAATGAAGGTTACTGCCTTACTGAAGAGGAAATGTGTGGTTTGTTATACATGGATTATTTCTGCAATCCGGAAAGGGAAGAATTAGTTTGGATGCGCTATGATCGTCTTTTATATGGATGGATTTCCGTTCAAAAATTTTTCATTCGTGCATTAGAGAACAATGAAATTGATTTGATGAGCAGTTGTCTGACTTCATATCACTCATTATTACGTCTTAATGCACTTGAATTATTGAACAGACTGATGAATAAGAAATTGGTGAATTCTTCAAAACTGATTAAATGTGATATTTTAGGTAGTACCAATTATTATTAAACAATATGCAAAGATTAGATATTAATTCATTATCATAAATTAACACATACACAGATTTCGATTGCTTGCTTAGTTTAGTTTGCAATTTGACTAAAAGATTTAAATAGTTGTCTGACTATGGTAATGTGGTATAATGTTGTAGGGATGTTCCATGCCAGTTGATTTATTTGCTGCTGATCTTTTATCATTTTTGTGCACAATTCATTATAGCGAAATATTTCTTCCTTATTCAGTTCGACTGGTCTCGTCAACTAGGAAGTGTCAAATCCTTTGTGCTTCAAAATTTGGATACCGCCGATGCTAATTTTGGCGCTGCACTCATACACTTAGTGCATATTTCGAATGCAAAAACACGTAAGCGTTTGGAAATAGCTTTACTTGAAGAACTTGAAAGGATCTGGAATGATCGGAATCGATCATGTCAAACTATATTTATTTTGGAACTTCTCAAACAGTGCGGTTTTGACAGATGGTTGGCTGATACACAGTTGATGGATTCAATTTTTAGCAGTGATATTACGGAGATAAGGTAAATGGATAATTTGCATTTTTCTACTAATTTTGGCTTTCTGAATTTATTGTGTTAATAAATTGAAAAAGTTAATGTTGCA